TATTCTTAATAAGTCCAAAAAATTAACATAAAAATTTGTCTACGAGTGTCTATTTAAGTTTTTTCATTATTTTGCCTTTGAAGGTCGAAGGTACAGTGGCTAAATATCCAAGTCCAGCAAAAATGTAACACATGCTATTCAAAACAGCATCATAATTTCTTCTTACATAAACTACTTCTAATTTCTGAAAAGAAACAATAGGAGCTTAAATACTATAATATAGTAGTGATGACTGATGGGCAATGCCAATCGGAAGAAAATAATAATCGATTATTATAAATAATCAAAGAAGCATAGTTTAATGTGGCTTAAAGAAAACGTAAAATGTAAAAGATTTATGAATTAATTTCATAGCTATTTTGTTTAATTATGAAAGATTTGATGCAGGTAATTACAATGTAAGTTGTAAGTTAACACTCAACACAAAAATTCAAATTAAGATTTGTTTAAAGATGGGTTTCCGTATATTTTAGTGTCAAATAAACAAACTTTTTGATTAATTGGTGTTCCTAATGAATTATCATGTATTCTTAATCATATCATTATTTTCTTATTGCATATATTTAAGTAATCTAACCAATCAAAATTGTACACTCTAGATAAACAAAAAAAGACTTTTTGACCTTGCTTGATCGGTCACTCATTGGAATTCTGCTGGTAATTCTATTCTAATTTAGCTAATTATGAATTAATTATGAACATGTGAGACAAACCAGTATTTTTCTAAGTCATTAGAACACCTCTCCTTTCTATTTATACAAGTATTAGCATTTTCTATAACATAATTGAAAGTAAGGGAACCCATCTTCAATCTTCACGAAGCAAACACAAAACAAAACAACTAATTTTTAAAATTATTTGCCAGCAACTTTCAGTTGGCATCGGTTGACTTTAACGACAGATAATCGATTGTCATTGACAATCAGAACATCTATATGTTATGGTTATAAGAATTGAGCGACATCAAGCCAAAAGGCTCTACTTACGGCAAAAAAGTCCTGGTCTTTTCTAAATTTCTGGAAATTTTTGGTATGTGGTGAAACACCATAAATATATTCATACCGTTTGGTTGGTACTTCCTTTACTGTAGAATACATTCGCTTCACTGCATTCTAAAAAATAAATATGAACTGTGAAGGCTCCCTAGTGGAGAGAGATAACATACAACAATTCTATTGAGTCCTCTGAATTTGAATGATACAAAAACCACAGCTGGATATTGTACAGAAGTATCTCTAGTAGAGTCTTATCAGTTATCTGCTCTTGCAGCAAGAGATACAGGTCAACAACTTTCACCAAGGCAATTTATTGTCAACATGACCCAAAGTCATGCAGGGTTGATGAAGATTTCTGTGTAAAAATGGTTAGTATATGGTGCTCGGTCATCTCGGTGACATCTCATCTCAGCGACAAACTGAGTATATGGTTAATAAATAAATATTCAAAATGAAATTTTCCACTCTTTACCTTTAACTTTAACTGTCTTTAGTCTATCAAATTATATTTACATAAATCAATTTTCCAGTGGTTCATATTTTCATCAACCCAAAACTCTGAGTTGCATTTTGTATTTGATATTTCAATTCATACGGAAATGATTGCCAAAATTCATTATATTATAGAGAGTAGTTTACGTAATAAAAGAGAGGGGTCTATCTAATTTCTATAGGCCTATCATTCTATGCCTTTCCTTTGGTTTTAGAACTGTTCATTTGTTTAGGCCAATATTCCATTGATCTACAGACAATATTTTACATTGTAAGAGATCAATTGAAGACTCTCCCAAGAAAAAGGAACGTTTTCTATAGTATATTTACCTTGAAAGACATTTTGAAGGTTTCTTCAGGACGTCTTCTTCGAAATGTTAACTCAACCTTCAAAACCGGAAGTAGTATCGCTCAAGGTAAAATTTTGACACATCGCCCTACGTCAAATCGGCCGAGGTACATGTAATACATCATCTTGTCAAATCGTGCACAAAACTTGAAAAATGTCTAAAGGGGTATCATCAATACAGATATTGTAAAATATAAAATGATTTCGATTTCAGTAATGTTGGGCCTATCCTTTTTTTTAACTTCAACAGTAAAGGCGTAGGGATGTAAGCTTGAGAATGAAAGTAATAATTTTTTATTGTTTAATGGCCCTGGCTAGTGAACGTGGCTTTGTTTTAGTTCAAACTTTGTATTTATGGATATAGTAGCTATGCCCATGCATTGCAGATTTTGGAAAAAATCTGAAAGGCGCTAATCTCGCGAAATACCGTTAATTAGCGTTAACAGGTGCGTTATAAGTGATTATCCAGACGTTTCAATATCTATACTAAATGGTCGCTGCAATTTGAGACATGACAACAAAGTCTAGTATTATCTATTGTTGTTATTGTTGCTATGGCCGGTTGAAGAAAACTTCAATTTTCACGTTGACATCAGAAAATAACAAAGATAAACTTTAATACTAAAATCGGCAGCATCAGTTGGAGTAAATTTGGGAGAATTTAGAAGGTGTAAAGTTGGAGGGTATTGTGATACAATGAGTTATTTACGAGAATATGACCGTGATGGTTTACCTGCCATTCGACCATCTTCAGGTGGAATCTTAGAAACTGCCGGAGCAAGAAAATACCGGGCATTAGATACTGACGAATTATTGGGTTACAGGGCAACTTCTCCAACTTTTAGTGGTCGATATGATTCTGGACAAAATAGACGGGGTATGACTGAGGTAAGAAACATTGTAGAACCATGTATCAATTATAATGAAACATAAATTATTATAATTGTTTATTTCATGTAATAATGATACATTGTTCTATATAATTAAATCCATCTTTGATATCAAACTGTTGTATATTCATGGCAGCAGTTTATCTTTTTTATAACATTGTACCATATGGATATTGAGCTATTTAACCCATATACTCTACACCTATATCTGAGTGAAAACATAGTGAAAACTTGCTACAACATGCTTGCTGTCAAGGGAAATAACAAATATTATCAGCAAATCGGGGCAAAATTATTTTCAAAATCACAATTTTTATTAAATTATCACATATAGTTTGAATTTAAATCATAAAATCCTTTTTTTTGTTTACATTGTTTTGGTTATTTCTTTTTTTTAACACAATTTGTTATTTATGTAAACATTACCACATATTTGCCTAGAAACAATCCATTGACAATAACAAAATCAATAACTAACTCTGATGGAATCTTACTATTTTACTATTATTGATTAGAAAACAATGCTAATAGTATTTTAGAGAATTTAATTGAAAAAACAGTTCCTTATTATATTCAAAGCAATATATCAGGGTTGTTAGTTAGCCAGTAATTTAGCGAATGTTTAAATATTGTTTTGTGTTTCAAATGTGCCAGTGGAAATCAGAGATTTTGTTTAAAAAAAATTATTATTTAAGTTTGAAATAAATATATAATGGAGATAAATTTTTCCCATTCTACACCTTCTCATTTGTAGCTGTGACAATATTCATTCTAAGAGTAAAAAATTACTGGCCAGGGAATCAAGAAGTGTCTTCCAGAAACTAATTTATCTTGACATTAGATTTGATACACGTGAAAGTAAGCTTATTACTATTTTTGATAATTGAACTTTTCAGCTCCAAGATCAAGTAAAAGTTTTTCGTGAAGAATTAAGAAAGAAAGATGCCATGATTCAACAATTAGTCAGGTAAAAATCACCTAAACCCCTCCCCCACCCCCCCAAAAAAACCGAATATATGATACCCTAAATAAGATCAAACATTTTTTAATAAAGACCTGGAAATTTGCCGAAGAAACTGAGTAATATGATAATAAAATGTATAATTGGTTATTTATATAATACAATATAATATAAATGTCACAATATATTGACAATCAAGATGAGACTGAAGACACATGAGCAATGTAATCTCTCTGAAACTCTCTGAAGTTTTTAATCAAGGAATTTTCATTTGATTTGAGAATTATATATTGATATACGATAAATACATATTTAATTTCAGTTTGGAATCGGCTCCTAAAACACAAAGTTATGTAGATCCAGTTAGAGTAAGTTTTCTAGACTTTAATTTTAATACTTATATCATTTTAGAATTTGAATCCAAATTTAATTTCAGATTAGTCCAATTAAATAATTGATTGTTAATATTATTTTTTTTAATTATTGTAGTAGTAGATGATGTTTGTTTGTTTTTTTTCTTGCACTAGCAATAGTTCTTGTAATCTCAATGCAAATGTTTTTTTTCATAAATGTTCGAAAAATATTAAAATATTTATACACAGATATTTGTACAATATTGTTTGTTTGAATTCAATTTTTCTATAGCAATTTAACTGTAGTATTTTTCTAGAAAGTTAACACTTTTGTTTAGTTTTTTTTACAATTATTTTGTAGTTAGACCAATATTATTTAGGAGATCGAAATCAAATTGAAACTATGAGAAAAGATATTTCAACTCTTCAAGTACAAAATGATAAATTACAAATACAGGTAACAGATCTCACTTTTTCAAAATTTTTGGAATGTATATTTTTTTTTCACATTTTGAAACTTTTTGAAATTCTTTTTAGTATTGTAGTTATATTATGCTTGATTTTATATATTTTTTTCTTCTTTTAATGTCACATCTTACATCTTTCCACATAGCTTGTGTTCAATCGAGAAAACATTTTGTAATAATTTGTACCAAACTAGCTGTGTCACATCAATAGGTTCTTTCTGGAATGACAAAGAGTTTTCTATTATTGTTTTATAAAAGCAGACAAATGAACACAGTAAAAATGAACATCAGTAAAATTTTCATTCAGTTTTTCTCCTGGCTTCTTAAACAAGTTTTGAGACAGGGCTCAAGACAATTTTCAAATTTTAGACATAAATTTTGATTTTGAATCAACTAGGTTCGCTTTTAAAGATTCTATTAAGCTTATGATATTACCAGGTTCACTGTTAGAAAGTTTACATACCAACAAATATTTTGGTTTGTGTCATTTTAGGTGCGTGATACAGATCATCTGCTAGAAGCTAAAGATATCAAAATCCATGAATTACAAAGTCAAATGGAAACATGTCGAGAAAATGAAATGCGTTTAACAGATATTATTAACAATCTACGTCAACAGTTACATGATGTTCAGAATAAAGCAGGTTCTATAGAATCTATGGCAGGACGCAGTGAATACACCGTGGTAGCACTACAACAAGATAATGCTGATAAAAATGAGAGAATTTTAGAATTAGAAGCTAGACTTAGGTAAGTGTAGTGATCAGATTTGATAAACGAGTTTTTTGACTCCTTTTATGATTCCAAACAGTGGATGTCTGTTGGATTGCTGTCTGTTCAATTTCTTTGTTCAGATAGAAACTTACAGGTTTGCATCTACCTAACCAGCACCTTTTAACTTGTGCCATATTAATTAGCATTTTTCAGAATCTTTTTCAAAAAAGCCATTTTATATATAAAAAAGTGATTGCATTACATTATCAATGAATTCTGCTGATTAAAATGATTCCTTGTTATTTTACAGGAAACAACTAGATGAAAGGGAAATGGCGGAAGCATCCTCTATGGGAGCTGAGAGAAAATTAAATGATTTATTGTCTAATATCAGTAGTTTGTTACGAGCAGATGATATAGACTCTTCCCCTAATTCTATAGATACAGTTGTTAGAAAGGTAGATAACTTCTAAATGACTTTTGTCATCAATTTCACAATTCCTTGTTTAACTGATTTGTAACAATTATACAGACTCAAATTTTGAAAAAATAACTTTGTTCAGTGCCTTTCATTAGGATGTGCCAGACATTTCTTATAGGATTGCTGGCTTGTGTTTTTGGCCTGTTTTGTGATAGGGCTTAAACTTGAAAGCAGACACTGGGCTAACTCTAGGAAGCACTATCTATGGCATTAGGAGAATTTGAACTCTTGACACATAATCCCCATCTCACTATTGACTGAGCCCTTCAATTTTGTGTGTAACAAAAATTTACATAATGTTACAACTTACACCCTTAGATGTTGGCGGTAAAGCTACAGTCCTCTTGATTTTATTAAAATTTTAATTCACAATCCTTGTATTATCTGAAGCGAATTTTCTTTTCACACAAATTTTTTTTTGGTAGTTGACAGATTTAATGCAAGAGAATGCCATGTTAAAAGGAAAGATTTTGACTCTAAATGAATTATTGAATAACACTGAAACTGAAACTAAAGCCAGTCGTGAAACTATCATGAGATTGGTCAGCGAAGTTGGTCGAGAACAAAAAGTAGCCACCAGATACAGTTCAGATATTGATAACCTCAGACAAGTAAGTCTTTCCTCTGTCAATTTTGTAAAATAAAGTTTTTGCAAAACAATTTAAAGGAAAAAGAAAGAAACCATAAGATGTGTTAAAAATTTTGATCAAATCACAGCTGTCATTCAAGAGATTTTGATATAATATCAAATCAAATTTGTCTAGTAAATGTTCCGATTAAGTTCTTTTCATGAAACCACAGTCAGATGTTGGAGCATATTGAATTTAGCCTTTGGAAATAATATGGCATTGGCATTTTCATATCCATTCATTAAATTTCAGTCTGTAAAAATGAAATCATATATATATTTTGAACTGCAACAACAATGTATGATAACAAATTTGTAATTTGTAGGAAAGAGACAATGCTTTAGCTGCAAGACGTGACATGGAAAGAGAGGTAGAAGTGGTGAAAGAAAGACTCGAAGCCAACCAGAGGGCGCTTGATGCAACACGCAATGAGCTGGAACTCCGTGAAGGCCGATTGAATCATTTAGATAGAGAATATCGTGAAACAACTAACAACACACGCAGCACTACCTCACAGTTTAATCTATTTAAAGAACAACTAGCCAATATCCTTAGCAACAGTTACACCAATGTACCACCTTCTGAAGATCTTATCAGAGACTCCATTTTGAATTTAGCACAGAATAACAAGGAACTTGTTTTAGTGAGTGATTCCATTCCTTGCTTGAATGATTTGCTTTGAAATATTATTTCCATTTTGTGGAATGATTTTAAAAGATTCTATTGGGGCATCCTGGTTTAGTTAGTTTATGATGGCTTCAATATGCAATTATACGGTATATCAATTTGATATTTTGGTTTGATCTCTTGTCTGGTAATGGAAAAATTCTTTATTTACATGTACGAAGCTATATCCTATTTTATATCCTATTTTATATCCTATTTTATATCCTATTTTATATATCCTATTTTATATATCCTATTTTATATCCTATTTTATATCCTATGGTAAATGTCAATATTTTTAATCTTTCAGCAAGTAGAAACATTAGAAAGCAGGGTAAAGAGTTTAGCAGAACAACTTGATAGTCAGATTGATATGCAGAGAACTCTGGCTCAACGTGCCAAACGGGCTGAAACTGAGGCAGCCGACTTAGATGAGAAGTTACGTTATGCTGAAGGTGATCTGGCAGCTAATGATGTCTTACGTGAAGGTTTCAAGACAGACAAAGAAAAGGTGGGCATTTAAATGTAAAAGATACATTGGCAAATTTTGCAACCGATGGGACAGCAGGCTGTTCAGGGCTAATTTTGGATTCAATAAGATGAAATAAAAAGAGTTTTTAATCCTATTTTTATAATCCTGATTGGGTAAATTGAGGTAGGTAAGCTATGAGGTAGGTAAGCTATGCAGTGTGCAATGAGAGAAATTGAGAAAGGACTGCAGCATTAGCGTACTCTTTTCCAATTTCTAAATGTCTTAGGATCTTTAAAGAGGGATTGTAAACCAACTGTTCTGGTTGTAATTTCAGTATATGAGATGTCTACAGAGACTAGGAGAAGCCATGAGAATGGATAAAATTTCAGCTGATCTTGGTTTTGACATGATGTTGGAAGCTTTGGAAGCTCGTGCAGATCAATTGGTACAACGAGAATCAGATAAACTAGCCGATAAAACTAGCGCCACCTATAATCTGCAACGTAAAGTGAAAACTCTCCGAGATCAGTTGGAGAGCAAGGATCTACATATTGATCTTCTACGTAAAAAGATGACAAGTTTAGAAGAGAGACTCCACGGTAGATCAGAATTAGAACGTGATCGCGATGCTGAGTCAATTCGAATTAAGAAATTAGAAAAGGTTATTTCTAAATATAAGTTACAGATACAAGACTCAAGACATGAAATCAACAATCTGAAGGCTCAACTTCTTGGCTCAGCAGAACTCAGGGTGAGTGAAGAAAATATTATGTTTATTTTTGTACACCCACATCGAATGGGGAGGTATGGTCATGTCAGATGGACATTTGCTCTTACAATCTGGAAGGTACAATCCTTGTTTATAAGTTATGACGCATGGTGCAAATGTCTGTATTACCCATCAAAATAAAGACATGTTGAATAGAATAATGACTAACTTTGAATTACATTGATTACAAAACCCCCATGATAAAGAATAATAAATTCTTTTTACTTTTCAGTCCAGAACAATAGATCAACAGAGAGATGTAGATGAATTAGCCAAACAAGTTGAGGAATTGGAAATGCTTCGTAAACGTCAATCTCGTAAAATTTCGGACTTAAAAGAAGAACTCCAATACCAGGGCTCTGATTCTCAGGAGAAACAAGTCGTCACAGATAATGCAGTCCACGCTCTCTCTGGTGAACTACGTACAGCAAAAACAGCCCTTACTGCCATTCAGAACAGAGAAAAACAGGTAGGAACTTGACACTGCTATTAACAGCATTTCAGTAAATATTAGGGTTCAGCAGCAAAAAAATCCAACTCACAGCTGACTAGGCTTTGATACTTGTGGGCAAAATCCACAAACATTTTCAAATGTGGAGAAAGACTAGCAGACAACATAGGTAATTGAATGGTACTGTTTGCAACTTTGCAACCATAATTTCATTTTGGGTTAAAAACCCATTTTATTTGAATGTACCAAGACAGCAGTTGCTTAGCTACTCTTGAAGATAGCTATATTTGATGTGAACCTAGAACCTATCTTATTGTACTTATTTATGTTTCTTGCAGTTGTTAGATTTTCGTAATGTTGTATCAAGAATGCTGGGATTAGACATCAACTCACTGGCAGTTCCAGACTACGAGATCATTTCACGTTTAGAACTACTCGTCAAGTCTCATCATAGTCAGGCCTTTACCAACATGAACCTTGACGAAGCTCTAGCTGGTGTGGAAGATGGGTTCCTCAGTGGTTTGGAAGACAACACCAGAATTGTGAATGACCATGTCTTAACACGACCTCGGGACAAATCTCGACGAAAATCTGCCAAACTTCGAGGTCGAGCTAGATCAATGTCTCCACAAAGACGAGATCCTCGTCGATATTAACTCTAATAGTTCTATTTCTTTAAATCTATCTTGTAAATCTATAAAATATAAGAAATTTCATGTCAAAAATTGAATTGATTTCAAAAAATTTCTTAAATTATATCAAATTCTTTGGTCAGATTTTTCTTATGTTTTTTTTAGTCAATCTGCGATTTAGAAAAATTGATTTGATTTCAATATGATTTCTGAGGAAATTCTTATGTCAAGTTTTTCTTATTATTTTATAATCTATCTGTGATATACTTTATAAAACTTGAATGTTATAATTGTGAGAAAAGATTTAGATTGTTACCTTCTGTGCAAACTTTCCCTAAAACATAACTTTCTTTAGTTTCTAGTGTTTGTGCTGCAACTTGTTTGTTTCTTATTATCCCAATATCCCCTTTATATATTCCAACATCTCGGACAGTAACTTATTTTGTAATATAACAATCTGTATTTTTGTAGTTAAATATATGTATATTTTATACAGGCACATGTATGTATATTTTCACATTGATAATGTATAATATATATGGACACTAGTTAGCTCTAAAGGCACATTTTGAATTATTCTTACAGAGGAACATATGATTGCTAATATTATTTATGAGAAAATTCAAATAAGCATAGTTTAAAATGATTTACTGATTTTAAGGCATAGGTTTGCATGATTGCTAAAGATTATTTATGGGAAAATTGATACATGCATAGCCCAGGTTTAGATATACAATATGATGTTCATAACTATGCCATAGGTCTTTGTGGCTGCCAAATGATATGGATATGGAATTCATGGCAATTACTAAAAGTAAATCATGAGCCATTTAATTATAGTTATATTTAGAAATTTATAATACATGACATGTCTGAAATATATTTTCCTCTGTTTGAACCTATCTAAATATTATATATTGTAGATAACAAATTATTTATAAAAAATTATTATTTTAATCAAAATCTTTGCCTATACCAATGTTTTTATTATCCAAAAATTTCATTTTATAATCATTACATTAATTTTAGTGGCCTTTTATCTCCTTCCATTTTCTATCTTATCCTCGTAAATTTGATCTTATATAAATCGGCAAGGCACAGTCAAATTGAAAACCAAATATTTCAGTCACCTTTTTATTGTATATTTTATCTTTTCTCAAGTAAAAAATTAGGGTAGATAAGAGCACACTATTTAGTAATACTGCAGCTTTTTTGATGTTTGAATTGGAAAAAAAATTATACATTGATTTCATAATCTGATGTCTTTATGCACAACCCTTCCAACTACTCAAATTATACATCATCTGTCAATATTTTGTGAAAGTAGAATTTTAAATAAACATCTCCTTTGAATTGGTGGATTTTTTTACGCTTCCATGTAGATTAGGATGTCTTGTCAGCAAGTTACTTAACACGCCATCTGGTGGAATTTGGATATATTAAACGTAGTCATAATTTGTTAACCAATTAAAAACATTGTTAAAAACAATGCAACTGATGAATAAGAGCTTTTGTATCCATGAATTTTACGTGCCATTGCTTTTAGAATTTGCAAAACCACATATTTAAAATGGTATTAGAGATCATGGCATCAAAATGTCTGGAATAACAGGAATCACAGGTATTAGGGAATTCCTTTAACTAAATCAGTTCAAAACCAGTAGCTACTGTCTGAAAAGGAGGGGCGAATGGTGCTTTATCACTAGGCAACTACAGTAAGCCAGAACCAAATAAAAGTCTAAATTTGTTAATCTTTTAATAAAGAAATATCTATTATTAACTTACATATTAAAATCTTTTATATACAATTATTGTTGAGCTATAAACTTAATAAACAAGAAAAATGTTGAATATTCAAAATAACGAAAAACATTAAAAATCTTTATCACAGTTGTGTTGAATGCTGCATGAAAACAAAAAAAATTCAATTTAATATACATAAAATGAAGGGCACAAAACATCTATCTAGGAAATGAAACTGATGAATCAAACAGGGCCAGTATTCTCCAAAACTTAGTTAATTTAATGTTTCATTCATCTGATTGGACACTAAAATCAGTAAAGAATCCAATCAGATTACTGTATTTCTAAAAATTGGATTTCTTAGTTAAAGTGACAGATACATCATTTTGGGGGTTGATTTGAGTCTTAAATATGTATATAGTCTTCAGAAATACTAGAAATGTACAGAAATTACATAATTCTTTCAAAAATATCTCAAAGTAAGAATTTCTTTTCATATTTCTACAGATGTCTTTTCTATATATTACGAAGAAAACTTGTCTTTTTAACTTTTTTTTGGATAATTCTAGACACACATGAACACTATTAGTGATTGGAAACAATTCCCGTTTCTGAGACTAAAAGTTTGATTGGTCAAAAAAATGGCTCACTTGTCCCTTTAAGATAACATAATTATTATTATGCAGTAGCTGATGATTTTCATAGCCTAGAAAAGTGCAGGAAACTCTGATAAAAATATGTTAGTAAAATTTTAATCAAACCGAGTGTGAATAGCTACATGAAATGGTAAGTAGATATGAAATCAATGCTGTTGTGGAAAAGCTATTTATAAAGGCTGTAGCTATTCGCACGGCAACGGTACAAAAATGGGCATTAAAAACCATGGCCACCCCTAACTAACCCTAACAAAATCACTTAATATCATTCTTGACAATCAAAATGGCTTCTCGCTTTAAAAAAAAACAAAAACTAGCACGCCTATTGTGTCTTATCTTATCCGTACCATTGTTTATAAATCATAATGCACATATTTTCTGTACAATACAGTCATATGATTGTGAAATAAAATTTTATACACATGAAACACCATATGTTTTATATCAAATCATTGTTTTTAGTTGCCCTACAAATACAATTAAATATTTGTTAAACTTAACTGATATAAATTAAGACAAAATTGAGCACTGTTTAACACAAGAGATCTAATAAGATGAATCAGCAGAATACATGGACCCATACGAGGTTAATATTAAAAAAATATGTTTCCAACAGCCTTATTCTCCAAAATATGATGATCCAAATACTTGTAAGTTTCAATTAAAAACCTTTAAAAATACATTTTGTTAATATAAGGCATCTAAACTGGATAGCTGCATCTTCATTATTATACTTTCCAAGAACGCTATATCTTAACATCACACACGAAACATTTAAAGGATCTTAATACAGGATTCATCCACAAACAAAAATTTCTAAAAAGGCTGTTATATTCTCTACCATACTCAAGATATTACAAACTCTGTCTATTACCTTGACATCATTGGACACATTTCTTATATCACAAAGCAGTTTGTAAATAAAACGATTTAATTGGATTCTATTTGATGAATACAACCAATCAGAGCTCTAGACAGATAGGACTAATCTGTGTACAGTCATTCTGTCAAGGACTCTAATAGGCTGTATTCATAATTGACAAACCAATTCAATTGCTGCATTATTTATAAACTAATGTGATACAAGAAAAGTATCTCGCGATGTCAAGGTATCAGAGGAATATGTAATATGACATGTGAAGATGATCTTCTACAAAAATACGAATTTGCATATCATTATTTTGCAGCAGTTCCACAAGTCTATAAAATGCTGATTTTCAACTATGTGGCACCATTTCCATTAACCTGTTGTCACCATTCCTTTGTCTTTAGACGACAGATATCACTCCTGTAATGTGAGGCGTTATTTCACTTCTGTAATTATTCCTCAAAATGGAGACTTATATGTCTGTTTGTTTGTAATGTAATTGGTTGCTAACTGGTGCAGAGAAGAGCAAAATGTGTAGTCAGGCAAAGATATCAATGCTTACCAAGCTTCAATTCAAAACATAAACACGAGCAGTACCCTTTTTTTTTTTGTTAAAATGAATGTTAATAGAAGTTATACACTTCAACTGTGTTGATTTTTACTTAGACTGCCTAAAAAATAAATTGGTCTCATGTTTGTATTTTTTTTTTTTTTGGACCTTGATGAGCACAAATACCTTTGCCTTTGCCTGACTATAAATGATATTAAACTATAGTGTCATTATGACCATCAGAATCTAGGATTGAGTGAAGGTAATGTATATTGTCCGTACATTATTTTATTAGGTTTACCCTGGGCCTGAAAAACACAAAGAAATTAACATATTTTAGGTTTAAACCAATCAGTGCTTCCTGTGCCTCTCCCTCCAAATTTTCATCCAATTGATATTTATCAAAAAGGCATAGCTATCAGCATAGACAATGCAGGTGCACAGAGGAATTTCTCGCAAAAATACCAATACCATATAGCAAGTTAGCAGTGCATATTATTAAACTGTTGATTTGTCCCTTTTTCTAATCTCAACCAAAACTTTCACTAAGTGATATGAATGGTGTATCACCTATTTGTACGAGGAGATAACTATATTCGGTCAAATTTCATGCAATAATAGTGTCCATGAAGTCAAACTTGTTGGACATCTTCAATTTGAAGACTTCAAATAATGAACTTATTTTACCTTATGAGGTTTATAACCATTATTTACAGATGGTAAAATTGTCGTCTGCTCAACGTTTCCTCCACCACCGCCATTTTGATATTTATATTTATTACTTGATGGAAAGCCATTAAATACAGAGTTGTATGCTGTTGGGTGTATCTCTACACGAGGAAATAGTCCTGTATGGTTTGTATACTGCTGACTTGATTGATATCTTTTATTCTTCCGCTACAAAAAATAATAACAGGGTAAAAATTGGAGTCTGAGAAAACTATAGGAATAGATGTGCTTTTAATTGATGCCAAAAAAGGGAAAGAACTTAGAAATTACTGAGAAAAAGATATTACTTAAATCTACAGAAGAAATATACGGAGATCTATTAAAAGTTAGCTAAGAGATTTCGCTAACCAAACTTAAAAAAGAATAGAAAAATTTATTTTGTTAAAGATAAAGCAATAAAAGGTTGTTCAAAAAAAATTTGTTGACAGAAACATTATAACAAATTGATGTTAGTATAATAAATGTGTCATGTGCAAGAAAAGTGCCTTATTTTCAGAAACAAAAGTGTAGACTGCGAAAGTGATCTATCCTCCGCAGCAAAAACAATGTGAATCTCAACTAGTGCAGTACACCCATGACTGTGTATATTGTCAGGCAACTGAAAATACCCCTAATCTTACAAATGAGCTCTTCCAATCATACAAGTACAGTATCATATTGATTGAAAGTATGCATGTGTAGCAGAGTCCAATCAACAAATGGGGTGTGTCAAAATTAACATGTTGAATCACACAATTGTTATTACAGTAACCATTAGCACACCATGATACCTTATTTGGTGATTGACAATAAGCCTCACTATCAGATGCATAACTGTCAACATTAGAATTCAAATTTTCTTTGGTTTCTGTATCAGAATGAGTCACATGATCAGTGAGATTAATTTCATCTACTGTAACTTGTTCGTAACTTCCTTCAATGGAGACAAGCGACACTGGTGTTGATGGTAGGCATGGCAACCCCTCAAGGTCTTTGATTTCATTTTCTGTTGGACTAAAAATTATTTTAGGTAAACTACTATAAGGAACAGTTCTGTCTGACATACATACAGAAATTTTGTCAGATTCATCTAAAGGAGACATAGTCCGTCCAAGTCGCTTTTTTCTACGTACCCGTTTTTTATACATATAATTATGTGGGGGTAATGAATGAGGTTTAGGGATGCTGGGATACATTGTAATTTCTGTCATCTTCGGTCGTAACTCCAGAGATTCTTTGTTGGCGTTGTCTTCAGATTTTGATACCACTTTCTCTTCATTCATTGGACGAATTGGTTTTTCATGATCTGTCTTTCGTTTTTCATCCTGTTCTTGTTGCCGTGCTTTCATGATCTGTATTCTCTTATCAGCATCTCTGTTAAGAAACTCTTATGCATTAGAAGGTAAAAAGGCTATTGAAAATTTTCAATTTATAATGCATTAATTCATGTCAAATTGTGTATGTCTGTTGTGCTTAAAATTTTTAGAGTCCACATGGTAAACTAACTAGACACAATTATATGGATAACAATTACTGGGTACTTTAATAAAAAGCTTGTGTTGATTCAACAATGGTGCTTTTGTCTCTATCAAGTAGTGACACAGTAAACTATAATCAGGGATGAGACATAAAACGCTGATTTATAGTATGACCTTGGAATTCAAATTTCAAGGTCATGGTTTCTCCAGTCTATGAAACGCGTCTCAATATACCTTTTTAAGTGTAAACTTCAAATTGTGTTATAAGCAAATGATTAACTTTTGTCAAATCCTTGCAAAATGACATAAGGACATTTGCTAATAAGTTATTTTCAAGACTTACTTAAGTTCTTTAAAATAAGGATGCCTTAAGGCTTGGCGCGCTGTCAGTCTGTCGTCTGGATCATATGTACACATTAAATATATTAAGGCTATAGCATCTTCAGTCACATGAGGTAATAATCTTTCTATTCCACTTCCTTTCTTGGGTGGGAAATTAAAATTCATTCCTCTTGACCTGCAAGAAAAAAATTGTCACAGAACATAAAAAAATTTGATGTAAATAGAGACCACATTAGATTTCATAAAAAATTAAATACATGAGACAAACAACAGTATGTTTCGAAATTAGAGCCCCCCTCCCCCCCATTCCACACAATAAACTAAAATAGATAAAAACTAAGGTGATCTAGAACAGGTATTTGTTTGAGTTTCTGACTACTTAATATTTTGTGTGACCTCCACCTGCCTGTACCACTAAATATAATATATCTTTTATTTTTTTTTCATTTTCTTGAAATAATCCATCACAGATACAATACCTTTAAACAATCATATACTAACCTGCGTAATTTTTTGAGCACTGCTTGATCTGGTGTTCCCATGACATCATGTATCTTAGCGATTTGGTCCACTTCATTAGAACCAGGAAATAACGGATGAAGACTGAAAAAAAATAATCCAAAGTTTAATACATCACGAGAACCATTATCTTTACTTTAAGTATATTTTTTGGCACCTTATCCTGTTATTGCATATTGCAGTCAAACTGAGATTCTTTAACTGAGAAAATATATAAACATGTCATTAGCTTATAGAAATACAAACCTGAGAATTTCAAAGAACACACAACCCACACTCCACATGTCCATTTTATATGAATAAAATCCATCAGTTAATAAACATTCTGGAGCTCGATACCTGAAATAATATAACATCTTTCTTCAAATAAGTTTTTCTTGAGGTGTAACTGTAACAATTTGAGCGGTAGAATTTGACATCATTTGCTTGAATTTGAATAAATAATCCAGTATTAATGCAGATCTCTAAAATTACAAGAATATTTGAATTCATGATCTTGATAGTAATTCATCATCGATTGGTATCTCTTAAAGTACATACCATCTTGTAGAGATATATTCAGTATATGGTTGCTTTGAATGTAAACTTCTACATGAACCAAAATCTGCCAGTTTTAGCAGATCATCCTGAAACATATAATATATTGCATACATACTACTATTTAGTTGTGAATTTAGTACACACCCCTTTTTCAACCACAAGTGAATCTTGACAAATCTCTGTCACCATCAATAAAGAACAATCAAAAAAGAACAAAAACTCAAAAGGGGCAGGTTTCCCCCTGTCAGTGATGCAGGTAAGAGGGGCTGACATGGAAAAGTCATTCAGATGGGACAATAAACCAAGGCCACGTGTGCTACAGACTGTGCACGTCACAGATCCCTCGACCTTGCATGGCCTTGCCCGTCTTTATTAGCCCAGACGGTGAACAAAATTAGGACGTAAAACTCCATTCATTTCATTACCTTAATGAGAATATTTTCAGGCTTAACATCACGATGGAAGATACCATTACTGTTTAAATATACAGAAAAAAACACAGTCAAGATCATTAGATATATAAAAAACATATAACATTTAAATAATACATTTATAGTAAAACATTTTTCACAAATGATAACAATAAATTCTGATGCTTATTCAACCAGCCTATATATCTAACATTCCTTCTAATTTGGTAATGTTTTAATAAGTGTTGGACAAGAGCAATAACTCCTAGGAAAAATATATTTATGAAAATTTGGCAAGGTTGAATATTTACAGCAATAAAACAAACCTAGTCCAGTGCTTTTATGAAACTATGTTCTCATTACCATAAGACATAGAAGGGATAACAGTTTCCAGAGTAAAGCATTTAAGGCTGCAGTAAGAAAAAACGGTTGCGCCTTTTATCCTTAGAAATAACCATGAAGTGTAAAGGTTCCAATGATTTGCAGGTGCCCTTATGATCATGATATAGTTCTATATCAAAGGGAGAGTGAGTATAATACATGTATATATAATGAAGCTTTGTGTTAAATATATGAAGCCAGAAGAAAAGTAGAGAGTGAATAAATAAATAATAGCACACAGGTTTACAAAACAATCAATTAACATAAAACACACACAGCTATTTTTCTTCAATGTGAGAATTGTTCACGGTTTTTAGTCTTTCAGGGGCCATATTCTCAAAGACTTAACTTATATAAAGTCCAGATTTTAAGAAATACAGTAATCTGATGTAAAGTTAAGAAAAACTTTAAAATTGATATGAGTAATTGACCAATCAGGGATCACTATAATCATCGTAAGTGAAGGCCCCCTCCTGGACTGTCTTAAAACAATTCAAGATGTTCATGCTAAATCAGAGCAATTGTCTCATCTAAAATAAAGTATGTAGCAATTCTGACAGATTAGATTTTAAGACAAATCAAAAGTAACATTATTACAAATTAAATCCATCACAGGTTAGTTAGTATACAATTCACAGCAACCATACAATTATTACACAGATTTGATATTTTGTTTCATGCTTTCTCTTCAGTTTATTACACTTGCCATCCAAGATCTGACAAAAATGTTTTACATCTCATGTTCTTGATCATTTATTATTCAACCAATTAAATGCTCTGATCAGTTTAAATAAATCCCCTTAGCGTATGTGAGGTTAACAGTTCAATATTAGTATCTGATACATGATCACACCATGAGTACCCCCACATTGTGGCCCTCCTCTCTCCAGAACTGAAGCTGACACAATATATCATTTAACATAGGGAGTAAATTGTCTGAGGCCCCTAATTGATTCCCCCTCCAAACGCCCACCCACCCTTCCTCACCACTGTTCCTCAACAGTTAAATATTAGTATCTGATACACGACACACCAAGTCTTACCAATGCATATGTTCGACAGCTTTAATGAGTTGATAAATAAAACTGGTGACCTGATATTCAGGTAGAGGTGATTTCTGGTCTGTAATAATTCAAATAAATAGGACCAGTGTCTTTACTGTGGACAGGAAGAAAGTGGGAAAGAACCAACACTCAAAAAGTATGATTATTAAAAAAAATTTAAGCTTGACATATAATAACAACTGAGCATTTAACATTAGATTAGTTGTTCTGCAAAAACAAAATAAATTTAGTTAAGCATATAAGCCAATTTTGGTCCCTAATGGCTAAAACAATTCCAGATTATTTAGTACTTTATAAATTTTGAAATGATTTATTTCCTCTTATATACAGTACTTTGTGACATAGATTGGCAAAACCTTACAATATTCAGTAAAGACAATAGTATCAGTAGCTACAATCAATAACTTGACACACTACTAGAGACAGATTTATCTGAA